AAAGAGAATTTCTTTCTAACTTCAGCATTATGGCATATACTCAATATGTAATATATGTTAGTTACAAATATCAGAGGATAATTCCTTATGAAGCCTTTAGCAATTTATCAAATTAATGAAAAAGTCTGAAAATCTTTTTTTATTTCCACCAAAGAAGAATATAAAGTTTGTAACTGCTGACTCAGCAGCTTGCCATCAAATCCCTCATCCCCTGTAATACAATTACTGACCAAGGCTTTCTGTTTAAACCCTGTACAACCCTGCAGTATAACCCACCTATACTTCAGAAAAGCTACAGGCACATTACAGTGAGAGAAAAACTAAAGTGCAATAATTAATATCACACCTTAGACATGCCAGAAGGATGAGATTCGCCATACGGAGGTAAGTCTATTCCCACCAGTTATTTCCTTGACATTTTAAGACTGGTGTTTTCTGGAGAGCGGTGGGATCTTACACCACCTCTCTTTTTTAAAATCAATGTTTTACTTAATCATTGTCTAGTACTGCAACAAGGTGCATATCAGAGGTTTTTGCAAGACCACAGAAACAGGGATCATGGATGCCACAGAGCTCATGGTCACTAAGGGCAGTCTGACTTCCTGAAGCAACTACACCCACAACGGAATTGCCACTGGGGTTGAATGTAACACCAAAGGCACATTGTGACAGATACAGCACCAAACTAAAGATCCTGAAAACACAACTGAAGAAAGATTTAAATATAATTCTTATTCTGACTAACAAAACAGATTAACATAATAACAGTATTACAATTAATTTAATAAATTAATTGGTATTGAAGGAAATGGATCAGAAAACAGGCTATACAAGCTAACACCAGATTAAGCAGTTCTTAAGAGGTGGATGCTCAAGATCATGCTGAAATTTTTGTGCATGACCTAAAGAACCTTGAGACTAAGATATCGGCACTACAAAAAAGTGTATGGGAAGTTTCTAGTCTAATAAAAAGGAAAATTTTAGGCAAGTGGTAAAAAAACCTTCACAGCTATATAATACTATTTTATACGAGTGCTTGTAACATTCTAAATATAAACTGTTAGCAAGGTGGCACTACATAGCCCATAATCTATTTCTAGGGTTTTTCAGACTCACCTGCTTTCCTCAGTTACTTCCATCCAATGCATGTATGTAATGGATGAGTCCACAGAGAAAGAGTGCAAGCTTTCAGGTTTTTCTACATCACACAGAATAATCCTCTTGGTATCAGTAAGGCCAAAAGCCAGAACTAGAGAAAGACAAGTGAAATGTATAAATAATCAATGTGCAAAACTTAGTACTTTATACTGAACTAGAAAATGAAGTGTCTTCAAAGCCATGTTATAGACAGAATTTTCCTCATCTATGTACAGTCCTTCCAAATTCTCATTTGAAATCTACTTACTAGAATGAAAGTTTGAACTCCTATCATATTTTAGCTGATAAATTTAAGTCAAAGGCCTGATTTCACAATTATCTATCTACATGTTGAACTGAACACTTCTAACAACAGTGACACAGCAAAGGCTTCAGGTTTTTGCTAATTTGAGGCCAAAATTACATATAAAGACTGTCCACCAAGAAGGTTTGTGTTTTATTACAAAAAAAATACAATTTTAAGACTTGCTAAGCAACTTCTGCGTCACCTTCTTCTTAACTTTATTCATCCATAAAGCGTATGGCAGACATAGGTTTCTTCCTTGTAATCACAGACAACCAGTTTAAAAAGAAGTTCCTTAAACTCCTCATACTTCATAATAAAACAATATCAGTAGTTTTCAGCCACGTCACCGATTGTTCCCATTTTCCCACCACTAATGTGTTGGGGGGGAAAAAAAAAATCCCCCTACTAATTTCAGCATTATTTCCGTTGATAAGGAAAAGGTGATTTTTTTTCCTTCTGTTTTATTTTTAGAGCAATTTTAGCCTCTGAAGTTCAGCCTATCCTAATAAGTTAAACTCTCCACTCAGTCCTGATCAGCCTCTTTCTCTCCCAGTAAATTTTTTACTACATACAAAAATATTCTGCTTAGTTAGGAACTTGAAGTTTTCCTATTCCTTGAAAGCAGTATTTTGGACATAAATCCATCTTGCAGATCTGTCTTGCAACTGCTTTCAGCAGTGTAAGTCTATTACTTTGAATAAACCTACATAAAGTTAAGCCATCATTCTCTTCAAAAACAGTTTACTTGGAAATGTCCTTGACAGATACGAGGTATCACCACCACAGCTTTCACTGATTTCCAATGGGATTTTTATCACACCGTATCACCTCATATACTTGACATTACTTTTGCCATCTGGTCTCCAAGCAAGAGCAGTCACTTCTTTTCCTGTATTTTCATTTGGAGGCAAACTCCACACTCGTTGAAAGTTTGCAAGCCGAT